GAAGAGACACCACGGCTAAGGCAACTCTTACCAAAGCAAGGGTTTAACTGGGGGCTTGCTTACAGTTCCAGAGGATTCGTCCGTTATCCTCATGATGGGGAGCAGACAGGCATGGCCCTGGAGCAGCAGCTGAGAGCTTTACATGCTGATCCACAGCCAGCAGGGGGAGGGGAGGAGAGAGAGGGGAGAGAGAGAGAGAGAGAGAGAGAGAGAGAGAGAGAGAGAGAGAGAGAGGNGGAGAGAGAGAGAGAGAGAGAGAGAGAGAGAGAGAGAGAGAGAGGAGAGAGAGAGAGAGAGGAGAGAGAGATACAGACATTGGGCTGGGTGTGGGCTTTTGAAACCTCAACACCCACTCCCAATGCCCACCTCCTCCAAACAAGGCCACACATGCCCTAACAAGGCTACCTCTTGATCCTCCTGAGACAGTTCCTCAAGTGGGGACTAAGCATGCAAATATAAGAGCCCATGAGGGCCATTCTTGTTCAAACCACTGCATAGTCCTTTATGTTTTGACTAGTTGTTTATATTTATATTTTGACTAGTTATGACTAGCTATTTTTGTATTATGACTAGTTATAGTCACTACTGACCACTGTAAATGGAAGCTTCTCTTATAAAAGCTAATAGCACTTCCCTGTGGCCATAAACATAGTTATTTAGAAAGCGGTTGGACAGGCACATCAGTGAAAGAGCTTCCCCACGAGGGCTTATGATCCTCCTGGCTGTTGACCACGCTTACGGTTAGACGTGTGAATCCCCCTTTGTGGAGCAGGCATCATATCCAACCAGAAAGTGGTTGATTATCCCCACAATTAGTTTGCTATTTAATTTGCCTGTGAGCTCATCTTGCCTGGCCAGTCAGTATTGTTGCACCCAGGGGCCACAGCCAAGGGAGACAGTTGTTGACAGTTCTCTCCCAGCAGCCTGTGGAGCAGCTTCTAGCCCGCTGGGGCAAGCCAGCAGAGAGGGAACATTTCAGCTTGGTTTTCCTATATGTGGCGTCTTTAGCAATGGTCCTACTAGCTAGCGTCGGTGGCAACCAACAGCCATGACAACTGTTAGCATATATTATTACAAGTATAGTCACCATGCAGTCAGTACATTAGAGTATTAAAACATTCCTTCAGTTTAACTGAAACTTTACCACCTTTGATCCTTAACTTCCCTTTCTCTATCCTTCCTCTTTGATATCAGTCTGTTTCTATTTGAGAATTTCATACATGCATGCACTGTATCTTAGGTATAGCTTATTCTCTCTTCCTCCCAACTCCCCCTGGACGCTCTCAACACGTCTCCTTCCTAACATCATGTTGTTTTTGTTTTTTAATAACCCACTGAGTTCAGTTGGTGCTACCGAGATACATACGGGTGTAGTGAGCTGCCAGCATCTTAAACAAGTTCACATTTAATTTCTCTCTGTGTGTGTGTTTACATGTTTACATGTACATGAGTGCAGGTGTCTGTAGAGTCTGGAAGACAGCATTGGATGCCTTGGAGCTTTAGTTATAGACAGTTGGGAATCTAATGATATGAGCGATGGGAACTGGACTTGGGTCTCTGCAAGAGCAATGTGCAATGTGCACTCCTCCCTGCTGAGCCATCACTCCACTTGCCTAAAGTCTCTTGATAAGTGATATGCTCTTATCTTTTGTAAATATTTATTATGTATCAGTATTATGCCTCCATGTATGCCTGCACTCCAGAAAAGGGCACCAGATCTCATTACAGATGGTTGTGAGCCACCATGTGGTTGCTGGGACTTGAACTTAGGACCTCTGGAAGAGCAGCCAGTGCCCATAACCTCTGAATCATCTCTCTAGCCCCCCAAGACACACCTCTTGATAAGCACTTTTCTCTTATATTTTTATGAGACCGATATTTTGATTTCCACGTGTAACTAAGATCTTACATTATTTATCTCTCTATGCCTGGCTCATCTAATGCAGCATATGCCTTCCAGTTCCTTTCACACTTTTGCAAGTAACTGAGCTTCTATTTAAGTCAGTATGGTATTGTTCTGTGTCTATGAATATTTCCTCTATTTACTTACCAATCATTGCACACTTACGTTGAGTCTCAATCTTGGTTATTATGAGTCCTGCTAAAATGAACACACGAATACTGACATCTCTTCAATACCTTGATTTTAGCTTTTCTTAGTTGCTGTATTATGTGACGATTATGTTCAGGAACATCTATACTATTTTCCAAGTTGTCTGTATTAGTTTATGTACCCACAATTGTTGTGGAATATTATTTTAACTGTGTAAAGATTTGTTACATTTGTTTTTGCCTTTCTTAATGATGCAAAGATGTGTTACATTGTTTTATTAAATAAAATTAACTTGGGGTCAGGAGGCTGATTCAGTAACTCGCTGACAGGAAGTGGCAGGGAGGAAATAAGTGTAGCAATGGTTCTTTAGTGGGGACTGAACAGAAGGACACCCCCCTCTTTTTTAGTTTTTATACTTTTATTTGCTCAGGTGCATTAATTTAAATCAATTGTTCAGAGCCTCCAGCACAACACTGAATATAAGTGCATATTATCTTATTCTTTGTCTTGGGGGAAAGTTTTCTTTTTTTAAGATTTATTTGTTTATTTATTAAAAATTTTCCTCTTCATTCTACACACCGGCCCCAGCTTCCCCTCTCTCCCCTCCACCTCTTCCCCATCCCAAGCCCTACCCACTCCTCACCTGAAGGATGAATAAATAAAATGAGGCACATTTACACAATGGAGTATTACTCAGCAGTAAAAAAAAATGACATCTTGAAATTTGCAGGCAAATGGATGGAACTAGAAAAAAACCTTCCTGAGTGAGGTAACCCAGACCTAGGGGAGGCCTTGCCACCTGTGAGGATGACTCTTTTCTCAGGAGACGTGAGCAAAGGGGAGGAGGTTCGCTACTTGCTGTTCAGCCTTTCTGAGCTAGCAGGATTTCATCTCAGCCTTTGAGTCCTGAGTTCTGTAGAAGGATAGAGATTTAGGTAAAGTTTCCTTTAGCAGCCCTGATAGAGCCAGAGTCTGAGGGAACAGAATTCCTGGCCCCTGTGGCTGAACTGCTGCTGGTAGCTATGGAGTTGCAGTTGTTGGCTGGGACAGCAGTTGCTTAAGGTACGGTCACTGTGTTGAATGCAAAACAGCATTTGGTGCCTAATGAGGGGCGTTGAAGTGTAGCTGGTTCTTTTGTTTGCTTGCTTGTTTTTTAATTCATTGGGGGCCCACCATCCAGCTCCCAAATGAATACACAGATATTTATTCTTACTTATAAATACCCAGCCTTACCTTGGTTTGTTTTTAGCTAGCTTTTCTAACTTAAATTATCCTATTTCTCTTCAACTATGTTTTGCCTCTGGGTTTTACCTTTCTTTATTCTATATACCTTTCCTTCTTACTCTGTGGCTGACTGGGTGGCTGGCCCCTGGTCTCCTTCTCTTGCTCCTTGCTTTTCTCTTGAGTCTAGATTTCTCCTCCTGTTTATTCTCTCTGCCTGGCAGCCCTGCCTGTTTTTGGCTCCTGACTAGCTGTAGGCCATCCAACTCTTTATAGACCAATCAAGTGTTTTAGACAGGCAAAGAAACACAGCTTTACAGTTAAACAAATGCAGCATAAAAGATTGCAACATGTCTTTGCATCATCAATCAAATATTACATAGCATAAACACATGTAACACATCCTAAACTAATATTCCACAAGACACCATCACAATACATATTTTCCCTTTCCTCCACATTTTGGTCAATTAATCTTTTTGATAACAACTATTTTTGATGGTTAGGGCTTTCAACTTGACAGACTCTAGAATCACTTGGAATTCTGTCAATCTTTTTTTGATTCTTTTATTTATTTTTTTATTCTTTGAAAATTTTATATATGTATGCACTCTATTTTGGTCATATCAGCCCCAGCTCCCTTCTTCCTGCTTTCCCAGGGATCTTCCTCCCAACTTCATGTTGTTCTGGGCACTTGGAGCCCATTATAGTTCCATACAAATTTTAGGATTGTTTACATTTCTATGAAAAGTAACATTTTAATTTTGATAATTTCATCAATCCGATTGGTTACTTTGTGTGATACACAATATATTTTTCCAATTTATGACAGTGTATTCATCATCTATTCTTGTCTTCACTTTCATATTTTTTATACTTATTTTATGTGTATGAGTGTTTTGCTTGCATGTCTTATATGCACCGTGTGAATTCCTCATGCATGCCAAAGTCAGAAGATGGCATTGGATCTGGAGTTATAGATAGTAGTGAGCTACCATATGGCTGCTGGGAATTCTTTGCAAGAGCTTAAAAATGCTCTAAAGTACTGAGCTATTTTCTCCAGCCCCTTCTTGAGTTTCTTTTATTGTTTTATAGTTTTCATTGTTATATTGTTACCATTCTAACAGGCATATAGTGGCGTCTTGTTTAATTTGCTATTTCCTAAAAACACGACTTTTTTCATAAGCTTTTTTGATATCTGTACATCTTAGGTGGCAAAATTTGTTCAGAATATTTACCCATTTCTAAATTTGCCTTCATAATACAAGGATGAATGCATCTGCATGCACACATGTGTGTATACACATATACATGCAACATACACAGTTTTTTGTATATTTTAGAATAATAATTCTTTAATAAGTGTGTCCTTTGCAAATTTGTTCTCCCAATGTCTCTGGCCATCCTTTCAATCGCTTGATGGTGTTTCTCATATAGTATGTATTTTCATGGAGTGCAAGTTATAATTTTTTTCTTTCATGGACTATGCCTTAGGTTTATATCTGAAAATAGTTATTTTTGTGATAAAAATGATTGTTTTGAAAACATGTTAAAAAGCTTTACACTTATATATATCCATGAATGCTGTGCATTTTATAGTTACACAGCATATTAAGAGATATGTATCTTCTTTAGAATAATAATGTTTGACTGAGTAAGAGTTTTTTAAAACCAAGCTCCCTTTAGCTGAATGTTCTATCTAATATGTGCATGGGAAGCAATATGCATGATTGTGACTGTTGATTATTCTCAGACAGAAGAAAGCATTGATGGATCACTTCAAGACTCTGATTGTTTCACAACTAACTTGTCATCAAGAAATATTGAGAGCAAGAAATACAGCAAAATTTCTAAAACAACAGGGAAGAAAAATTCATCTGGATGTAAGGGTTTCATCCCAGAATATAAAAGAATGTAAGTTAAAAACTTTGAATTTACACTATGGAAGTTTAAAGAAACCCCGGCATGCATCTTATGTGTTCTGATGGCAGGAGTGTGCGCATTTGCGCTCATTCTTTTAGAAACATAGCTTCAGCAGTTGCACAGCTCTTCTTAAACCTCTTAACTTCAGGTGCATCTACATGGCAGTCTAAAAGGCGGAGCTCCAGTTATTTGGGAGCAGTGGTCCATAGGTCTGTAAGTTTGTCTTAAACACAATTTAAGAAAGACACCTGGGCTTGGGTTTGTAAAAATTAGATCATTTGAATTCTCTCTCTCTCTCTCTCTCTCTCTCTCTCTCTCTCTCTCTCTCTCTTCTCTCTCTTCTCTCTCTTCTCTCTCTCATTTCCTTTAACGCCAGAGGTCTGTATAGGTGACTAAACGTAGGACAGTTTCAGGGTGTGTGTGGGCTGGGGGGATAAGAACAAGATACTGGGATCTCAGGATAGCAATTTGGGAGGGTTGGACTTAATGGGGATATAGTATCCCAAAGGGCAAGGTATCTGCTAAGGAAGGAAGTGGATAAATGATGACATTTTCTCTTATTTCACAATTTGCTCAGGATTAAATTAACCAGTAGCTGTAACAGTCAAAAATGCTACAGGACAAATGGCCCAACAGCAGCAGGAATAATAAATAGAAGGAGAGGCTAGGCAGATGAAGAGAGATTTGCTGCATCCTGATACAGAGTTTTAAAGTCTATGATATTTAGCAGACAGCTGGAAACTTGAACACCGATTCTACATTTGTTGATACTAAGAAATGTCTTATCAATTTTTATGTCATAACGACGTTTTAAATGTTTTTTTAAAAAAGAAAACAGGTGTTATAGAGATGTTTATTAAATCGTTACAGATAAAATAATACTGATGAAATATGTGCAAATGAAATAAATACTGAGACTTCAAATTTATAAAGGATGGAAGCAGGAATAAAAGGCGAAATGAGGCTACATACGCCATTATTTGAGCTGGGTGGTGGTACATGGGGAGATTAGCATATTGTTTGGAAATGTCCACAGTCAAAGTTTGAGAGGAAGGCAAAGCGATCCAGGCAATCCAGCAGTTATTCTAATTTCTGTGTCATTTAGATATGAAACGTCATTATTTCTGTATAGAGAAGAAAAATCCACCGAGTTTTCAGGATCAAAGAAAATCAAAAAGAAAAGTTTACAAGTACAGTTTCATAGTAAAAGAACTGAGGTGAGTTGAGACTTTCTGAAAATTTCCTTTTTGTCCCGAGCCCCAAATATTCTTGATGTTTTAGACCAAGTGTTGAAATGTTTTTTTAAAACATTTTTTTAAAAGTTTATTTATTTATTTTATGTGGACTGATGTGTGTGTATGTCTGTTTGAGGGCATCAGATCTTGGAGTTATAGACAGTTATGAGCTGCCATGTGGATGCTGGGAATTGAACTTGGGTCCTCTAGGAGAGCAGCCAGTTCTCTTAACTGCTGAACGATCTCTTAATATTTTAAATTTTAAATATTGCTTCTTCCTCTTCCTTTTCTTTTCTTATTCCTGTGACGGTTAGTGCCAATTGTCAACTGGATAAAATATAAAATTACCTCAGAGATGGGCTTCTGGGCATGTCTTTGGGGGGAATTATCTTGATTACATTGAGGTGGGAAGTACTGTCCACTGTAGGTGCCACCATCCCTTAGGCAGGAAATCCTGCGCTTTGTAAGAGTGGAGAAATTGAGCTGAGCAAGTGTGCATGCAGTCATTGTTCTCTGTTCCTGGTGGTGGATGTGAGCAGTTTCCTCAAATCCTTGTTGCTATGGTGACTTCCATGCTGTGATGGACTAGAATGAGGAGCCGTGAGCCCCCACACACTTCCTCCTTGCTGTGATGAACTAGAATGAGGAGCTGTGAGACCAAACACCCTTTCTCCCTCGAGTTGCTCTTTCAGAGTATGCCATCATAGCAATATGAAGGAAACTAAGATATCACCCCTTTATTTCTGCTTTTTGATTGATTGATTGGTTTGTTGTTTTGGATGGCTTCTCACTGTGTTGTCCATGCTGACTCAAATCTTGGGCTCCAGTGGTTTTCCTTCCTTAATTGCTTAAGCAGCTCCTGGGACTACACGTGTACACCACCATATCTGACTTTCTTCTCCTTCCCCTTTCTTTATAAAAATAAGGAAGGCATTGTATCCTTTCAGAAAACTAGATTTACTTTTCCCTATTAAATTAAACTTTTATGTGTGTTGTATTTCCTATTTTTTTTTTTAGTTTTCATTCTTCTTTATACATGCTACAGTTAAGTGGTTAATTTATTCAACCATAAGGATACCCTGAAATAAAATTACTTCTATCATTGGAATAACCAGTGGTTCCCCACAGGATTCTGCATGTATAGCTAAAGCCTGTACAGGAGCCTAACCTGGTAGATGAGTCAATGTTTTACTTTGCCATAGGTTTCCCCTGTTCTATAAAATCTTTAATCTATTAATTAAAAATGTTAATTAGAAGGTAATTAGTTACAAACTTAAGAACAATGGTGTTTCCAAAGAATATTATATAGTTTAAAAAAGTTTGGAGTGCATATGAAATGTAATGTAAATGTCAAGGTTTCTACCGGGAGTGTGGGTGAGTGAGACGCTGGGTGTGACTGCCGTCCAAGAGGCTGGTATTCAAGGATGCTGGGTGACCAGGATGATCTCATGACCAACACACTTGCTTTTGGCTCTAGATCGCCTCTCCGTCCCTGAAGGTGGCAAAGGAGAAGACGGCTGGGAAAGAGAGCACTTTGTACAAGTTGCCATGCCACTTTGGTAGTCACAAGACTTCACTATGCCCTAGTTTATCTTCCTCAACTCCTCGGTATTCAAATCACTGTATTCTGATTTTCAAATGAGGGGCTTGTATTTAAAACTTTTCTCTGCATTTATGTATCTCTTCTCTATATAGACTGCCATTAATTTGTTTAAATGAAAGACTGTGACCTTAGGCTCAGGCAGAAGTAAGAGCACTGTATGTGGGATTGGAGGACTTAGATTGTATACTGATTGGTCTCACACCCTATTTTAGTGCTTGTAAAATTCACATTGCATCTTGGGCCTTACTTTCTACTTTTTTAAAAAGATTTATTATTTATTTATTATGTATACAGTGTTCTGTATGCATGTATGCCTTCAGGCCAGAAGAGGGCACCAGATCTCATTACAGATGGTTATGAGCCACCATGAGGTTGCTGGGAATTGAACTTAGGACCTCTGGAAGAGCAGCCAGTGCTCTTAACCTCTGAGCCCTCTCTCCAGCCCTACTTTCTACATTTTTAAAGAGAGGGTCTTATGAAGTAGTTCTGGCTACCCTTTGTAGACCAGGCTGGCCTCACACTCAGAGATCCTCTTGCCTCTGCCTCCTGAGTGCTGGAATTAAAGGTGTGCACTGGCTCCATGTGTGTGTTTGTGCACATGTGTGAATGCCTGTGGGGGCTAGAAGGGGGAGTTACAGGTGGCTGTGAGCCACCAGGTAGGGGTCCTTGAAACTAGACAGGTTTTCTGGAAGAGCAGCAGGTGCTCTTAACCACTGAGCCATCTGTTCAGCCCTTCACTTTCCACCTGTGTACAGGAGTCTATGGACTCTTAAGACCTCCGCCAACACGACTGATTGTGGCTTTAGTTGTTTACACGTTGCGTCATATCAGATGAGTCCTTCTCTCCAGACTGTTTATAGCTGATGATGGAATCTGGGATTTCTTTATTTTATTTTTGCTGTTTAAAGAGCTCTTATTTGTCATATAAATACCTTTCTTTGAAGAATTACTATGATTTGTATTAAGAGCAGGAAAAACTACAACCAGAGCCAGCAGCTAGTGAATCTGTCTGTTGACAAGGTTAGATTCTGCTCCCGGCAGAGACATTGGAAGGAGCAAGGGGAGGATTTGGGGTGATAAAAACAACTCTTATTGCGTGGAGCTCTTTAACAAAGCTACTCTGGATTGAGAGGTAGCATAGGGCCATAGTCCCAGCGCCTGTGAGGTGAAGGCAGGAGGATTATCAAGAGTTCAAGGGTAGCCTGGCCACTTGGTGAGACTGTGTTTCAACAAAACACCAAAATAAAACCAGAAAAAAATAAAAATTCAAGATATTTATAGGTTTGCTGATAGTTTTCTGTGGGGCTTTTTATGAATGTCCCCTGCTGCTTTCTAATGTGGCCCGTTCTCTGACAGGAGGAAGGAGACAACTTCTAACCTCTACATGACGTTATATGAACAAGTACATGAAGGATACCTAAAATACCAAGAATTAAGTGGTAATAAGAAATTCTAGAAATTATACCCCCTCCCTCCCTCCACCCTTCCCCAACACTCCATCTTCTCCCTCCCCCTCCTTCTTCCCTCCCCATGCCCTCTATCTTCCCTTCCTCCCCTCCCTCCATTCTCCTTCCTTCCTCCCCTCCCTCCCTCTCTTTCTATGAAGACCCTGCTGGACCCAGATCTGCCAGTCTTCTGCACACTTGGTTCCCTTTAACTTTTGACCAGATTTTCACTGTTTCCCTCAAATCCTCAGTGCTATCACCTATTCTTTAACTGCATTAAAGATAAAAAAAATTAGTTAAGATTTACTTCTGTCTTAGGGCTACAATTCTCTCTGAGAGCTCAGCTGATAAGGTGCTTGCCATACGAGCACAAGGAAGTGAGCCAATTCCAGCATTTACATGAAAAAGTCTAGGCATGGCGGTGTACCTTTAATTCCAGCCCTTGGGTGGCAGCAACAGGCAGATCCCTGGAGCTCTCTGGCCAGGCACCCTAGCCCAGTTGGCAAGCCTCAGGTCCCATTGAGAGACCTTGTCTCAGGAGACAGGCAGAAGACTCATGAAGGATTTCACTGAGACTGACCTCTGACCTCTTCACACTTGCACATGCACACTCACACAATGTGCTTATCTACAGTCTATGAAAGTAAACATTTTAAAGCCCATTTCTTTGTAAATGTCAAGAACATTTAGCATGAGAACTACCTCCTTCACATATTTTTAAGTGTACAATGCAGTATTGTTACTTACGTGTATAATATTGTACAAATCTCTAGAGCTTATTATATGCAATTGAAATCTTATATCCATGGGTGAGTGTCCTCTCTTTCCTCTCCCTCGGTCCTCAACAGCCACAATTACAGTCTTTGCTTCTTCTGTTGGACTCTTTAGATAACTAGTGTAAGTAGAATGATCTGCCCTGTGCTTGGCTTATTTCACTAAACACACATCTTCCAGCTTGTTCCAACCACCACATATTATAATAACTATTTCTTATAGAAGGCTAAATGAATGATATTCTATGTGTATGTACCATGCTTAAAAATTAATTCATCTTTTGATGGCTGTGGTCTATGTAGTTTGTTATATGTGTTGGCATCTATGAATACTGCTGGTCACAGATGTGAAAGTGCTATCATATATATATATTTGGAGATGGCTTCTTGTAGCCCAGGCTGGCCTCAAACTCACAATGAGGCGGAGGATGGCTTTGAACTTCTGACTTTCCTGCCAGCACCTTCCAAGTGGTGGGACTGTAGCTATACATCATCATTCCCAGTTTATCTGATTTCATTAAGAACAAACCCAGAAGTGAGATTGCTAGATCAAATAGGTTTATTTCTTTATAGACAGGTAATAAAAGCTATTGGGAAGAATCTTACTAAACATCTTGCTCTTCCTACCCACATTCTTAGACACAAATCCCCTTTAAATTCTCCCTTTATCTGTCTGGAAGTGGCTCCCTTTCAGCAGATGAATTCTGTTACATTTCATTTATATTTATTTATACATCTCTGTTTCTACAGGGTCATATATATATGCACATAAAACTTTTATACACATATAGGATCATATGTGTATGTTTTGTTTTGGGACAGGGTCATACAATGTAACTCTAGCTGGCTTGGAATTCACTATGTAGACCAGTCTGGCCTGGAATTTATAGAGATCCCTCGGCCTCTGCCTTTCGAGTGCTGAGATTAAAGGCCATCACTAAGTAGAGCTATGTTCTGTATTAGAAGTTTCTCCTCCCTGTCCTCATTCTTTCTCCTCCTCCTTCTCCCCATGTGTCTTCTCTTTTAATGTGTATGGGTGGTTTTGCCCAAGTATGTTTTACACCATGTGTGTGCAGTACTCATGGAGGTCAGAAGGGGCATCAGATGTCCTGGGAACTGGAGTCACAGACAGTTGTGAGCTGCCATGTGGGTGCTGGGAATCAAACCCTAGTCACCTGTATGAGCACGGAGTCTCCTCTCCAGTCTAGAGAAACTTCTTAAAATAGTTTCTTTCATTAACATCCCATTGTTTTCATTTTCCATCTCACTGAATTCTGTCATCTAGCTCCATCCCTCCACAAACCTTTTATTAGCATCCTAATGTTACTATTTTTTCAGTTTATTTTCCTTTCTTACTCTACCTCCCCCTCCTTCCCTCCCTCCTTTCCTCCCTCCCTTTCTCCCTCCCTCCCTCCCTCCTTCCCTCCCTCTTCTTTCCTGGCCCATCTTCCTCCTTCCCACCCCATTTCTCTCAGGGTCTCACTATTTAGTCCAGGTTGACCTGGAGCTCACTATGCAACTCCGGCAGGTTCAGAACTTTGATCATCCTGCCTCAGCTTCCCTAGCTATTGAATATTTTTTTTTAAATTTTTGTTTCATTAAACTAAACAGAATTCAGTTCAACAGACATGTTTTGAGGGAGAGGAGCACCTATGAAGTAGGACCGGGAAAAATAAAGTAGCTGTCAGGCCTTCTGGAAGCAGTAAGAACGTAGAACATTTTGGTTGTGCTATATCCTGAGTGCACCAGGAGCAGACGGGGCAGGTTCAGTGTTCTAGACACACCCAAGTCACAGGTTAGCGTTTAGAGGGACAGTTTGGGTAAATAAAAATGTCCTCCTCTTTCTCAGCTTAGTGCTCATTACTGTTTTCTCTGGTGAGAGTGTGGGATGATCAGGATAGGTAATCATTTTAATTGTTTCCTTATGCCCATGCAGCACTTCCTAAAGCCTGCATAATTTTTAGTAAAGTTCGCCAGGGTAAGATCAATGTGAATGATTTGCCAATGATCCTCCACATCCTGAAGATTTCTATGAGTGACTCAGAAATGCGACAGGTGCTGAAGACCACTGACATTGATGGTGAGTTTTCTCTTCAGCGTCCTGCACACATGAATGCAAGCTATGTTTAGCTCACTAATTACAGATGATGGAAAAGCTAAATGACTATTTACAAGATATAATTTTTATTATGTTTTAAAAACAGTATTTACAATGATATTAAAAAGCTATACTCCAGGTGATTGTAATTGGATTGATTGCTACATTGGATTATGAGACAGTCTCATCATTGGATAATGAGTGAGCTGTTTTTATTTAGGTTTTAGTAGTTATGTTTTATTAACAATGAAATCAGTATCTGACCTAGTCTCTCCAGATGAAATCTAAGACCTTGACAGTAATTTGCATCCATCCATAAAGTTCATGAAATGGCCCATTTTTTGGTTTGTCCAGTTTGAGGAAAGTGCTGTCCTGAGTTGTATGCTCTTTATTCCCTTCTCTCTCTCTCTCTCTCTCTCTCTCTCTCTCTCTCTCTCTCTCTCTCTCCCTCCCTCCCTCCCTCCCTCCCTCTCTCTCTCTCCCTCTCTCTCTCTGTTCTCCACACAATGTAAAAGAGTGACTGCTTTTGCGTACAAGCTATGATATTCTGATATCAGTTAATTATATTTACATTTTCAGTTTACATTTTCAACTTAATGGGTTTACTGATGGACTTTTTCTCCTTGTTTCTGAATCATCTTTATAGTTAATGGAATGCTGGATTTCACAGATTTCCTGAATGCCAGGAATGATGCTTCTCATTTGACCTCTCAGAATCCAGGTAAAAATAATATCAGAAGTATAAAACAGAATGGTTTGATAGCAACTGGCTTTATTTATTTATTTATTTTTAGCAACTGGTTTTAATGTGGGGCTAGATAGACGAACTTATGTCTTCTTAGAATCTCATTTTCTGTTATTCCATAGTTTAGGCAAATTAGACATGATTATTTATAGATATTTCTCTCTCTCTCTCTCTCTCTCTCTCTCTCTCTCTCTCTCTCTGTGTGTGTGTGTGTGTGTGTGTGTATTCCATGTGTGTGAAGGTATCCACAGAGGTCAGAAGAGGATCTGGTTCTGGAGTCAAACTCCAGTCCTCAGAAAGAGTGTCAAACACTCTTAACTGCAGAACCATTTTCAGCCCCTAATTTTTTTGTCATGAAAGACTTGGATTGGGGCCAGTAAGATGGCTCCCCAGGTAAAAACACTTGCTACTCAAGGCTGACAACCTAATTCAACCCCTCGATCGCACATGCACACACACCCAAGAATCCCAACCCTTGGACCACTGCTGCAGCTTCTGTTTTCTCTGTAACTGCTAAATCACTACTAGATGAATTATTTTATTTTTATGTATGTATGTGTAAATGTTCATTTGTATATGTGTGTGTGTGCACATGTCACTGTGTGTATATGGAGGTCAGAGGGCATCTTGAGCGCCAATCCTAGCTTTTTACCTTATTTGAGACAGGGTCTCTTTGTTCTTCCTGCTGTGTACACCAGCCTAGCTGGGGTGTGAGCATCTAGTGAGTCTCCTGTCTTCTTCCCCATCTCACTGTACAGATTACAGACATGTGACACCATGCCTGGTCTGATGGCGGTCCTGGGGATTAGAACTCAGATCTTCATACTTTGCCACAAGCTTTTGACCAATTGGGCCATCTCCCTAGCTCTTAGACTAATTTCTTTATAAAATCTGTGTGTGTGTGTGTGTGTGTGTGTGTGTAGGTCAGAGGACGGCTTTCAGGATTCATTCAATTCTCTCCTTTCATAATGGGTTCTGGAGTTCAGGCTCAGGTTGTCAGGCTCTTTTATCTGCTGAACCATCTCTATAGAATATTTCCCAGCAAGAATCTACTTCCCTAGTTAGTCATAAACCTATACTCATGTTGACTTCATTTTCATGTCTGTTTTTGTGTTTGTGTGTGCTTGTTTTCTTTTCTAGTGACAATACTTTCCTCACTCCATCACAAATCTGCATATAATCCCTCCCTAAAACTTCAGATACTTACCGACTTCCTAATTACTTATTTTATGTTACAAATAAATGATAAAGTGATCAGAAGGACTATTTATATTAGTTATAGAAGCAATACTTCCAAAAATTTGAGACCGTTAGTGTTTTTCATTTACTTGTTAGGCAAGATCAATTTCTTAGCTCAGTCCTGTTTCTGCAGTCAATCAGACTCTGTTTCTTTAAAATCAGTGTGGTAGTATCTCATTCCTGGAAAAGCAAGCAAAACTTTTTTTTACTCACTCACCTGTGGGATGTGCAGCAGTCACATGGGCAGCAGTGACATGGGCAGTAGTCACATGAGCAACACTCACATGGGCAGCAGTCACATGTGCAATAGTCACATGGGCAGTAGTCACATGGGCAGTAGTCACATGGGCAGCAGTCACATGTGCAATAGTCACATGGGCAGTAGTCACATGGGCAACACTCACATGGGCAGCAGTCACATGTGCAATAGTTACATGGGCAGTAGTCACATGGGCAACACTCACATGGGCAGCAGTCACATCTACAATAGTCACATGGGCAGTAGTCACATGGGCAAGAGTCACATGTGCAGCACTCACATGGGCAGCAGTCACATGGGCAATAAGTAAGATACTTGCTTTTCCCTTTTGATTTTTTACTTCCTGTTTAGATTTTCCTTCAAATTCCCGTAACTCTGGGCTTCTTTATCTGCATGTCATCTGACTATTTTCTGACTATAAACTTCTCCATATAGATTCCTAAGAATAAACTTCTCTGTATAGATTCCATAGTTGTTAAATTGTCACTTATATTTAAGTCTCCATTGGTTTCCTGTGTTTATTTTATGCTTATAGTTAAAATGTTTTGAGAATAATCAAGTTTCTTTTATTCCCTCTAAAACAACATATATAATAATGTATATATGTTAATTTAGATATAATATGTCTACATACTGACCTCTAAAATAACTTCAGCCCCTCCTAGCTCATTACACATTTAATATTGACTTTAGAATACTGTTTTTTCTATTTTGAGGCAAGATCTTATGTTACCCAGGCTGACTTTGAGTTTGCTATATAGCTGAGGCTGGGCTGTGAATCCTTGATTGTCCTTTCTCTACCTCCTAAGAACTGGTATTACAAACACTGCCACTACACCCAGTTAGAATATTTTATATACCACTATTAACATATATGCCCACAAATACATGTATACATAATATAAATGTTTTGTCAAGGTAAATGAGTTACCAGTGAGTAACAAGGGAGAACCAGAAAACCTAGATCTTATAGAACCTAAAAAACAAACAAAAACAAAAATTTCACAAAACAAAACAAAAACAATGGAGCATATTATTGGAAACCAAGAGATCTCTCCCCATTTTCCTCAGTGGTGTAGCCACTGGTAAGGTGCCTGTGCTCCTGTAACCAAAATTAAATTCATTGGTTCAAAGTAGCAACAAAAGACCTGGAGGGAGAAGGGGAAAGGGTTGGTAAGAGTGAATAGGTGGGGAGGAGAACAAAGGAAGGGCAATGCAGGTGATTATGTATGGTTGACATATTTTGAATGTGTGAAATGTCACTGTGAAACCTATGTGTCTAGGGTTACTTTTTCCTGTTCTCCAGGAAAAGCTGTTAATTCTCACAGTTGAATCATTTTTGTTCCTCCAGAATTTCAAGATGTCTTGAAGACTTTTTCTAAGATGAAAGGTGGTCGTGTGGCCACTGATGAAGTGGCAGCTTTTTTGGATGGCATGGGTATTCCAGTAAATCCCGAGACGCTCAAGGATGTGATAAGTCACTCTTATGTGGACAGTGAGTTATCTGAACTCTGCTTACCAGTTCTATTACAGCTCCTGCGTCTTCTTTCTCGATTTTCCCTTTTGCTGCTGGTACTGCTGACTGATATTGGTAGTAAAAATTAGTGTAGAAAAATTGAGAAGATTCTAAAATTATTCTATTTTGGTACATTTCCCAAAAGTTGAGAATAAAATGGATTTTTAAAACTTCAGCATTGCCAGGCATGGTGTCATAACACTTTGAATCTCAGCCCTTGGGAGGCAGAGGTAGGCTGACCTCTATGAGTTAGAGGCCATTCTGGTTTCTGTGAGTTCCAGGCTAAGCACGGTTAGTCATCTAGTAAGGCTGTGTCTTAAAAAAAAAAAAACAATTCAACATTGGGGTGGTGAGATAGCTCAGTTGGTGAAGTGCTTGTCTTGTTATCATGAGTACTTGATTTGACCACAAACATATGACACACATGCATACATATATGCATATGTATGTATATGCACATATACAATAACAATAAATTAGAAGTTAAAGTCTGAAAACATTCAGCCCAATCTCATCTTCAGTGGTCATTTCTTGTCTTTGTAGATGGGTCATTTCTTAGAGTGGGAAGAAAGAATGTTGACTTTAGAAATAACAGAGAATTCTTGAATTCTCAATTTTATTATGTAGCTTTAGCTAAACTTCCCTATCCTCTTTAGTTATTCTCTACAAAGCATAGCTTGATTTAAAATATTATAAGGATGTATGAGAGGTTCTATATTATGCTAACATTTGACCAAAGGATAGCCTACAATAATAGATTGATTAGTGATTGATTAAATGATTTGTTCATTCAACAAGCCAGTTAGTCTACTGTGCCTGGAGTAATGATGGGTGGAGTACAGGTGGCTAAAATACAGTTCTAGTGTGGACAGAACCGTGTAAGTTGCGATGCTGTGTGGTAAATGCCTGTAGTGGGGTGTTTGTAGGCTGCCATTGGAAGTACCAGGGAGAGATTATCAGAGAAGGTGATGTCTGAACTAAATCCTAAAGATCAGTAGGGTTTATTGGATGAAGTGATGGTGAGGAATGAGAGAGACAATGTAGGTCGATACAGCAGTTTGTATAAACAGGACAGAAAAAAATCAGGTATTCTATCCTTTTAAGTGGACTTCACTGTCTTTCGTCATTTTCTAGAGGTGATTTTGTGGAGCTTGGAAGATAGAACTAAGCTATGCATAGTTCTGCAAGTTTGTTATTTGTTAGAATTTATGCGAGTGTGTTATTTTGCCTGCATATATGTATATATACCACATGCCTGTCTGGTTCCCACAGAGGCCAGAAGAGGGATCATATTCCTTGGAACTAAAGCTATAGACACCTGTGAGCATTGTGTTGGTTCTGGGAACTGAACTTTGGTCTTTTGAAAGAGTAACATGTGCTCTTAACTGTTAACTCCTTTTGGCTTTGAAGCAGGCTTTCACTCTATCTTAGACCTTCCTAGAACTCATTTTGTAGCCTGCGCTGGCGATGAATCTGTAGAAATCCTTCTGCTTCAGCCTCCCATAGCTGCAGGTTATTATTACGATGAGCCCTTGCATGGTAGGTGTGATAGGTTCATGAAAGTGGAGATTTTTAAAGACATGTTTCAAGCCATATTATCTGATAGTCTTCAGGGTATGCCCTGCTAGGGACAACAGGTTATATGTGAAACTATTGCGGAACCTTCTGTTTTGCTTTATGTTTTGTTGCCTAAGTCTTTAGGTCTCTAGGTCTCCCATGTGATTTGGAGAGGTAGATTGAACAACGGAACTGATTCCCAAGGATTGTTGTAGGAATTGGCTGTAAACATCTATCACAGAGTTTGTCACTAGGAATAGAGGGGTGGAGGTAGAAAACAAAGTCATCCCCAACAGCTCTATTATTGTGAAGTTTTCGTATTTTAAACTCTGAGATATTTCTGATAACTACTTCCTTACTTTAATCCAAAAGAACATAACTTTTCTTTGGACTATCACAGTTCAACCTCCCAAGTCTACCCATACCAGCTTTGATCTCTTTACACTACAGGCAGAGTGATCTGTTCAAAGCATAGATCTGATATTACCTTCCTCATGGATTGTTCAACAGTAGCGCTTGGGATAAAGAACACTTTAAGGTGCTGTTCAAGGCTGTGCTAGCTAATTTTATGTCAACTTGACACAAGCTAGAGTCATCAGAGGGAACAATTGAGAAAATAAGATCAGGCTGCAGGGAGCCTGTAGGGCATTTTCTTAGTTAGTAATTGATGTGGGTGGGCTTGGCTCATTGTGGGTGGTGCTACCCCAGGGCTGGTGGTTCTGGGTTCTATGAAAAAGCAGGCTGAGCAAGCCATGAGGAGCAAGCCAGTAAGTAGCACCCCTCCGTTGCCTCTGTGTCAGCTCCTTCTTCCAGGTTCCCTCCATGTTTGAGTTCCTGTCCTGACTTCCTTCCATGATGAACACTGATGTGGAAGTGTAAACAAGTAAACCCCTTCCTCCCTAGCTTGTTTTGGTCATGGTGTTACATTATAGAATTATAATTAATATAATTATTACATTTATTTAATTATAACATTTAAATTATAAATTTTATAAAATTATAAATTTTAAAATTATGATATTTAAATAATTATTCAAAATATTATAATTATTGTATAATCACATTATATTATATAATAATTATGATTATTATAGAAAAGGGTTATTTTATAATAACATATATTTATAATCTTTTTATAAATAATATTTATAATATAATAACCTTTTATAAATAACATAAATATGAGTTAACTGACCTTTACTCTCTGTGTTGTGGGTATTGGGCCTTGAACCCAGGGCCTCAGGGGTGTTAGACAAACACTCTGCCAGTTCCATACCTCCTGGACCAATGAAACTCATCTTAATAGGTGTGTTTGGTGATGAGAGTTAAAATCAACCAGGAGGTACCTAAACTGAGCAGAGAGGCAAGTTTAACTTCACTGAATGAGAAAATTTGGTACAGAGCAGTGGCTTAGTACTGTGAGGAGACTGATGGAAAAGTGGGAGGGGCAGGGATCTAGCAACTGATAGAGAATATCCACACAATTTCAAACTGTAGCATAATTGATTTTTGTGTTTTTGTCTTTAATTACAAATAATTGAAACACGTTGATTAACGGAGAAAGGCCTATGGGTTGTGTATAGGCTCTCCTGGAGGTGGAGGGATGATAATCTACAGATACTAATGTGAGATCAAGACTCTGTGAGAGCTGGGTGTGGTGGCACATGCCTGTGATCCCAGCACGTGGGAGACAGAAGCAAAAGGGTTGCTGTGGTGTAAGCTCAGCATGGAGTACACAGTGCGTTCCAAGTCAGCTTGGGCTATAGCATGAGGTCTTATCTCAAAAACAAAGCCACAACCATCTGGAGTACAAGCGCTGACAGTGAAAACTGCTCAGGAACCTTCAGCGTTTGGGTAGGTACTGGTTTTTGATAGTATGTGGTATGGGGCTCTCCACTGTTTTGCTGAAATATTAAGGGAAATAATGACCTTAGGAAACAAGGTTTGGATCGCCCACTTTCGATGCGTATGTAGAGGGACTGTAGATTTATGTAGAGGGACTGGACTGTAGATTTATGTAGAGGGACTGGACTGTAGATTTATGTAGAGGGACTGTAGATTTATGTAAAGGGACTGTAGATTTATGTAGAGGGACTGTAGATTTATGTAGAGGGACTGTAGATTTATGTAGAGGGACTGACGCTGTAATGCTCTTCTAGCATCTCTGACTTGGTGCTGTTCTTTACAGCCTTCGGTATATTTTGTTTATGGAAAATCATTTTTAAGTGATAGGAGGAAGATATTTTGCTAAGAATTGAGGAGAATAATCGAAATACACATTTTCTGTTCTTGAGTCCACAATCGAGAAATTGAGACAAAGGAGTAAATACTTGAAGTGATATCTATAGTAAATTCTCCAAAAAAATTATAAAATGTTAATTTGATCATCTAGCAAAGACACTTAAAATGTGGCTGTTTCCTTTGATAAAGAAACTCTTTTATTAAAGGGAAAACTGTGGTCTTAATTTTATACTTCATTGTGTACCTAGATATTAATGAACAATTTCAGGTAGTGCTCAAAACTCATAATTCCTCTGATTCCATCTACACACTCTTCTGAGTCATATTCATTATATATTCAAGTTGACAACTATATGTATGTTCAAAAGTAAATAGAAGTACTTTACTTTCTATTACAGGTAACTACACGGTGGATATTGGGGACATTATATTTGCTTTGGATGATCTGCAGCAACAGTATGAAGATGTCTGTAAGAGACCTTTGTGGCTATAAGTTTTGTTTATAAGCAATATTCAAGTTAACTCCTAGCCCACAACTTTTTAAACTCTTAGAATGAGTATTGAGCCTCCTTCCCTAACCTTCTCATCAGGATGACCAAAACAGAACATTCTGTAAACCTGCCTTCCTAATATCAATTATGTAGCACTAGTATTTCCCTGACTCTAGTTCCTTACAAATTCTTTACCATTCCTGATTATTTGGCATACTTCTCCATTAAGTATATCCCTTTTGCTCTTTACTGCTCTTTATGTCACATTTTAAATTCCCTTTTATTTGTTCAAATATAATTTGGTCAAGATTATTCTAATAATTATAAAAATTTTTGTAGTTTGGTTAGCTTATTACAAAGAGGAAGTCCTGCCTTCGGTTTTCCCCACCTTAGGTTTTCCAGAGGTGATAATTGATATTTATCCTTATAACTTGGTATTACATGTTGATTTTTTTATTGACATTAATTTGTTAATTAATTAATTGACATATATACACATGTGGAAAGTGTGATAATTTTTGGAATGAACATACTTTTTGATTCAAGATAATCAGCATTCCCATCTCCTCAAACATTTATCATTGTTTGTATTGGGAACTTTCAAAGTTTAAAAATTTTTTAGAATTTTTGAGAGTAAACTTCCTGCTGTGTCCTCAGCATACATACTCTTCCCACAAAATCCATGCTTATAGCATATTTATACACCAGTATAATTCAGCATTGTTAACAAACCCCTGAAAACTACTTACAGGTGATTTGTATCTCATGGACTGTGTGCGTTCCAGCTTCCCCTGTATCTTAGGGACTGTGTGCATTCCAGCTTCCCCTGTATCTTAGGGACTGTGTGCATTCCAGTAATGCAAGAGTGCTCCCTTTTCCCCACAACCTCTCCAGCATAAGTTGTCATCAGTGTTTTTGATCTTGGCCATTTTTACAGGTGTAAGATGGAATATCATAGTTGTTTAGATTTGCATTTCTCTGATGACTAAGGGTGTTGAGCATTTCCTTAAGTCTTTCAGCCATTTTAGATTCCTCTGTTGAGAGCTCTCTGTTTAGGTCTGTATCCATTGGATTATTTGTTCTTTTAATGATCAATTTCTTGAGTTCTTTGTATATTTTGGAGATCAGACCTCTGTCTGATGTGGGGTTGGTGAAGAGCTTTTCCTATTCTGTAGGCTGTCGTTTTGTCTTGTTGACCATGAAGAACTTTACAGTACATTTTTAAAATGAACTGCATATATATAATACCTTGAACAAAAATAGAAACACATACACATACACACATATATAGTATATTATAACAAAATAACCTTTAAAATGTATCAATATACAAAAATTCATAATTGAAATATTTGAGACTAGTAAATGCTTTTTAATCTAAAAGTAGATTCAATAATCTGCCTTTTTATCCCATTATTCCAATATTCCCCTTTTTTATTTTCAGAAAGAGATCCCTGAATCTAACCTCCTTTGCTTGGATTGTTTTCTCTGGCTTTGATCAGTAACAGCTTGAAACTACCCCTCCATATGATGATAAACATCCACAACCCACTGAACAAACAAAAACCACCTACCCTATCTCTTGAGAATGTTGGTATCGTGTTTTCTATATTGCTTCTTGATGTCTGGAGGTGATGGCATCTTTAGGAGTCACTGAGAAAATTTGGATAATGGTCAAGTCCTGGGAGAGCTAGCTGTTGTTCAGTCTATGTGTGATAGGAAAGTGTAGAGCTTATCTGAAGTCCTGGCTGGAGTAGTCTGCGAGGCTGAATCAACTCAAATTAACCTGTTTCTATTAATCTACGTTCTGCTGTGTGGTTCTATGCCTCTCTTCCATTTTGTATGTCTGAGTTCCTCAGCATCTCTCTGGCATTTCTTGTGCACCTAGATTCTAACCCTGAGTTCCTCTCTCTCCCCTGAAGTTCCGCCTGTTCTCTCCTGCCTACTGACCATTCAGCTCTTTACTAAACCAATCTCAGTGACACATCTTCACATACTGTACAAATATCCCACAACAAGTAGAGTTGTGTTGAGTTGTGTAAATACTTTACAGTGTGTTTTCATACCCAAAGTCTCCTTCAGCACCATCACGTGGATTTTTATAAATGAAATTGTAACTTCAGATGTTCCATTTTCTAGATTTGTGACTTCTGTATCAGATTATTTCTGCCTGCAGCCAATGAGAGTATTCATGAGAATAATTACTTGGATCTTAGCTTTATTAACAAATACTCTCCTTCTGCAACTTACTGTAGTTCTGCACACTTACAATGAGGGTATTTTTAATTGTATTGCCTCCCTAGCCTGTTATCTTTCTAAATTTGGAGGTGGAGAACAATGCATCCCAGCAGAGTATTTTATCTAACTTTAAATAGATTTGAGTGAAAGTCTTTAAATATAATAATCTGTAAGATTGTACTGGTTAATAGTTTGGTCATTTAATCACCAGCCCTTCCAGCTTCCTTAAACTTTGTTTTGTATATTTAAGAATCCATAATTTCTAGATTGGCCTTTATGAGAACTTAGTTGATTTGTTTGAATTTTTGAACGAATCATATGAATAAATAAAATCAATAAATAAAATAATATATTTCTCTTACTTAGCAATTATGGATGAAGCCACTTCAAATAAAAGATTATCAAGTATACCAGGACCCCATCTACAACCCAGGAAGAAAGGGAGTTCAATTTCCAGACTGTCTGAACCTATCACATCAAAAAATAAACCTCCCCTTCAACCTCGCAGTAAAACCGTGGAGAAACATGATGAGCCCGAACTTAAACGATCAAAAACTTCCTTACAAATAAGAAGACTCTCAAGTCGGGTTGACAGTAATCAAGTGGGATTTCAGGAACCATACCCAAAGATTCAAGATTCAAAGTCTAAATCATCTATCCCAAGGAGTACTACAAGCCTTGAAAAGTTAAAGATTCCAGATTCAAAGTCTAAACCATCTATCCCAAGGAGTACTACAAGCCTTGAAAAGTTAAAGATTCAAGATTCAAAGTCTAAACCATCTATCCCGAGGAGTACTACAAGCCTCGAAAAGTTACCAGATAAAAGCGATACTTCTACCATCTCAAAACTTGAGAGGCTAGCTGTGAAAGAGCAGCCCAGCACCCTAAAACCAGTTGCATCTAAGGAAAAAGCTTCAGTTAGGGCCTTAGGTCAGTGTCCCATGTCTCAGTTAGGATGTAGGTTCTGGAGTGCTTCAGTCTTTGCAGACATGGGCTGCGTGGGCCAATCACTGAACACTTACACTTTTCCCCTGAATATAGTTAACCTTTTAGTTGTTAGCCTCTGTCACCACTGCTACTGATACACAGACCAGTGGATAGGATTCTGTGATTTTGGTGATAATTCCTGGGAAAAGGGTGGAGATAGGTGAATCTTTGGAGCTTGCTGGCTAGCCAGCTTAGCCTAAACTGAGATCTCCATGCCAGTGAAAAATCCTGTCTCAAGAAACTTGGCAGATGTCACCTGAAAAATATCTCCCAAGGCTGACCTTTGACCTCCACCTTCACATGCACACATGTCCATATCCAGTCCCACAACCTGCACACTTGCACACACACGGGGGGGGGGGCGGGTGGAGAGAGGGGGGAAAGAGAGAACAGAAGGTGTATTTTTCTTTGGTAATTTTTTTGGTAATTTATTTGAATATGTAGGAAATCTGTGAAATTTTAGAGTCCCACAGTTCAAATATGTGAAGATATTCCCAGTATGTCAGGTATTAGTTCTTGTGGATGGAAAATATTAGAAATAGAATAATGAATACTGTACTTCTTAGGTATCTAAGGCTGTGTGGCCCTCATAAAAGATAATTAGTGATTTCTGTCTTTTTGTTCTACTCCCATGGAAGTACCTTGCTCGAAATTCGTCATCTAGAAATAGCCAGGGTTAATAGTCTTTTCAGATACTCTTCCCAGGTAAAACTACAAAGAAAAAGGAAGCCAAGTTTTGATCTTGCTGCCTGACAAGGTGAAGGTCAGGACACAAGGCACTGAAAGGGGCCAAGGTGCCGCCCTCATGCCAGAGCTGTCCACTCACAGTAAAAGCTTACCAGTTTGGGGTGTCAGTGCCCATGTAGCCCAAGTAAGAATTTTTCTTAAGGGAGAGAAAGGTGGGCTAGTCAAACAGGTGGGGTTCCACGTGGACGAATAGTGGAGTTAATAATTATTGATTTCTAAGCACGGTGTATGAGAATTCATTATAATGTTTTGAGTTGCATAGATTTAAAACCTTCTACTTAAAAAGAAATAGAAAATATAATCTGTATATAACTTGTATAGAGAAAATATGACTTTATTTGGATATAAGTGATGATCTGAATGGGAACATGTCCTACGTTGATAGGTTTAGAGACTGAAACCAGTCAGTTCTTCCATCCAATGCTATTTAGCTTTTGGGAGGAGCTGAGATCTGGGAATGCTGAGAGTGCTATGACCATAGATTAAGACCATCATTTCTCTAATTTGTTTGTTTAAAGAAATTCCATCAAAATCCAGGCTTTTATGAGCCAATTCTAGTGTTTGTGTGAATGAACAATGTCCCAGAATAGTTAAAACACCCCTAGCCCATGTGTGCAGAGGTATACATGAATTTTTTTTTTTTGAGACAGGGTTTCTCTGTGGCTTTGGAGCATGTCCTGGCACTAGCTCTGTAGACCAGGCTGGTCTCGAACTCTACATGAATATTTTTATAAGATACTAAACTAATTAGTCATCTGACAGATCACCAGGCAATGACTGGGTCACTTTGTATTGCTAAGTGTGGCTGTAATCTTTTCACTACTTGCTTTTCTTGGAAAGTTATTGCGATGGTGATAGTGTCTGTGAGAGGGGTACAGGCAAAGAGAAAGTGATAGACGATGAGATAAGGAACTTCCAGACATTCACGAGCACACATGGACAAAGTGAAAGGTCAGGTGACATGCATGAAGAGTGACAATACTGTGCACTGTTTGGAACAACTGTCTAGGAAGTGTTTGATTTTTGTTTCTAAATTGAATTGCCTTTTTTCTTTCAAAGCATATATTTTAGTGATTAGTATTTTATAATGGATGTAGTTGTATCTTTTTATAATTTTCAGCATTTGTCATAGTAATTTAATCCTTGAAGATATTAAAGAAAATATTTCTCTTCCCTTTAGAAACAAAACCAGTGAATTTTAAAGAGTTTGATACCATGATGAGCAAGAACGAATACTTCTCTCAAAAATTATGTACGTATGAATGTTATAATTTATGTCGTATGAAAAAATCAGAATTTTTTTCTAGTCTAGTTCTTAGGTAGAGTTTAAGCCTTTTATTTAAATTCCTAAAAAAGTAGCAAAACGCTGGGCGTGGTGACATACATCTTTAATTCCAACATTCGGGAGGTAGATACAAGGGGATCTCTATAAGTTCAAGCAAGGCAACTACTCTACATAGTGAGTATCAGGACAGTCAGGGCTACATAATGAGACTCTGTGCTGTAGTTTGAATGTAAATGGCCCCCATAATCATACAGGGAATGGCACTATTAGGAGGCGTGGCTTTGTTAGAGTAGGTATGGCCTCATTGGAGAAAGTGTGTCACTGTGGGTACGAGCTTTGAGTTTTCCTATGCTCAGGATACTGCCCAGTGTCTTAGTCGACTTCCTATGGCCTGCATATCAAGATGCAGCCAGAATCACATCTGCCTGCATGCCACCATGCTCCCCACTATGATGATAATGGACTGAACCTCTGAAACTTTAAGTGAGCCATCCCAATTAAATATTTTCATTTATAAGAGTTGCTGTGGTCACAGTGTCTTTTCACAGCAATGAAAATTCCAAGACACCCTGTATCAAACAAACAAACCAAAGAAAAGGTGCATTTAGTCCTAATTTTCAGCTAGAAAGACCTTGTAAACATTTTAATTTTAACTATAGACTTATATGTACTTATAAATAATTACAAATACTTATAGTAATTACAGCTATTGTATTATGGTTACTCATACATAATATTTATCATGCACTAATACTGAATCTTTTTCATTATCCCATGGATTCCCATATTAATGCTATAATGTTTTTTAGAAGAGAAACCCAAGATACAGAGTTCTCCTTATTTTAGGCCTGCTTGGTGCCACACACATCTGGTCCACATTAGTGTTATGATTGAGCTCAGATAAAGCTGTGTGTTTTCAAAATCCACATTATACCATCCAATGGTGCTCCCCCCTCAAACTTCGTATCCACTAGTATAGACCGACAGGTAAGAGTCATTCTTAATCGGCTTTTCCACTTTGGCCTCAGTGCCACACTGCCCCCTTCATCTGATCCATCACAGTGTTTTGCTTGTTTGAGATAAGGTGTATGTGTTTTCCAGGCTGGTCTTAAACTCCCCATCCTGGGTTCAGGTAATTCTCAAGCTTTAGCTCCCTGGGTGCTGGTGGCATACTGACATGTGCCAAGATAGTTGGCTATTCTCAGATTCTTTAATTGGTGCTTTAAAATTGATATAAAAATATGTTTCCTGATCAGAGAGTCCGGTTTTATCCCATGCTGTTTCAGTCACAGTCCATCTGGCTTTGGTGAGTTCCCAATAGATCAGCCCCACTGTCTCAGTGGGTGGGTGCACCCCCCCATGGTCCTGACATCCTTGCTCGTGTTCTCCCTCCATCTGCTTCTCATTGGGACCTTGGGAGCTCAGTCCAGTGCTCCAGTGTGGGTCTCTGTCTCTATCTCCATCCATCACCAGATGAAGGTTCTATGGTGATATGAAAGATATTCGTCAGTAATGCTATAGGATAGGGTCAGTTCAGGTTCCCTATCCTCAG